CTGATATAACAATGTACCTGGGGACTCTATTCCATTTGAAATCTTTGCTATAAATGTAATAATTTATAAAACCCAATAGCTTATTTCCATTATAGAACAAAACAAGTGGCAAATTTCAGGCTGGGTGGGCGAGAGATTATGTGGCAGTGGAGAACTGCTTGCAATCTTTTAATTATTCATTTCCTAATTTAAGTTTATTCTTAAAAGGTACAGAGTTTCTATAAAGAGTGTAAAATTGTTGTTTGGATGCTAGTTTGATTCCACTGAAACATACTTTCAGCTTTAACTCTTATGTACGTGTTTTGTTGGTGAATAGTGTCTACTGAATTAGCAACTGCATGCTCCTTTTTTGAAACCCTCTGCATTGTTACTCTCAATGTCCAATCTTCCTTAGTGCATCCTCCCAAGCCAGTAGGGTCTTGATCCCAACTGGAGCCTCAAGATGCTACCATAACAAATATTAAATAACTCATCAGCAGCGGCACAAGTTTTTTTTTAAAACTGAAAACCCTCAAGGGAAAATTCTGCCCATCAGGACTAGGGAGCTCTCGATCAGCTGCACGTGTGAGATTCTGTGTGTCTCTTAGTATCTGTTGCTCTTTTATAATATATTCTGTTCCTGATCTATAGTGAGAAAACAGAGTCATGTATTACACTCATTGAGAAATGTTCTTTAAATCACAAATGCCTGTGTTATGTATTAGTGTTCAGTAATTTGTAGTTATAAGACATCCCTGTTTACAAAAGGCTTTGAAGTGCTTCTATCCGAAGAAGGGAGGATAGTAAAACCTGTCAGCACTGGAACTGTCTGTCTTTCCAAGCACACTAACTATTTTAATCTGCATAGAAATGTTTAACACACCATAATAGAGGCTCAAACTAGAGAGAGACAGACAGACAGACACACACACCAAATTAAAAAAAAAAAAAGTAAGAGGACCAAAAAAATTCCATCATGGCTAGACAAGGTAAAAGAGGCAGTCAGAGTAAAAAATCAAATCCTACTGAGGAAAACCGAAAGGACCATAAACTCTGGCAAGTCAAGTGTAAAAGTATAATTAGGCCAGCCAAGAGAATTTGAAGAGCAACTAGCAAAAAAACAAAAACTAACTCCAAATGTTTTCGTTTTAAGTACATCAGAAGCAGGAAGCCTGCCAAACAACCAGTGGAGCCACTGGACAATCCAGGTGCTAAGGAAGCACTCAAGGAAAATGACGCCACTGCAGAGAAGCTAAATTAATTATTTGCATCGGTCTTTGCTACAGAGGATATGAGAGAGATTCCCACACCTTAGCCATTCCTTTAAAGTGACAAATCTGAGGAACTGTTCCAGACTGAGGTATCAACAGAGGCGGTTTTGGAACAAATCGATAAATTAAAGAGTAATAAGTCAACAGGATCAGATGGTATTCATCCAAGAGTTCTGAAGAAACTCAAATATGAAACTGCAGAACTACTAACTATGGTATGTAACCTACGCTTAAAATCAGTCTCTGTATCAGATAAATGGAGGATAACTAATGCAACGCCAATTTTAAAAAAGCTCTAGAGGTAATCCAGGCAACCGTAAACCTAACTTCAGTACCATGCAAACTGGTTGAAACTATAGTAAAGAACACAATATGTTTGGGAAGAGTAAACATGGCTTTTCGAAAGAGAAATCATGCCCCACCAATCTATTAGAATTCTTGGAGGGAATTAAAAAACATGTGAACAAGGGTGATCCAGTGGATATGGTATACCTAGACTTTCAGAAACCCTTTGACAAGGTCCCTTACCAAAGGCTCTGAAGTAAAGCAAGCAGTCATGGGATAAGAAGGAAGGTCCTCTCGTAGACCAGTAACAGGTTAAAAGATAGGAAACGGAAGGCAGGAATAAATTATCAGTTTTCACAGTGGAAAGGGGTAAATAGCAGGGTCCCCCAAGGATCTGTACCCGGAAACGTGTAGTTCAACATATTCACAAATTATCTTGGAAAAGGGATAAACAGCGAGGTGGCAAAGTCTGCAGATGATACAAAATTAAGTCCAAAGCAGACTGCAAAACATTAACTCACTAAACGTATCTAACAAAACTGGCTGACTGGGCAACAAAATGGAAGAGGAAATTCAGTGTTGATATATACGAAATAATGCACATTGGAAAATATAATCCCAGCTATACATACAATATAATGGGGTCTAAATTAGCTATTACCGATCAAGAAAGATCTTGGAGTCATCACAGATAGTACTCTGAAAACATCTACTCAATCAGCAGCAACAGTGAAAAAAGCTAACAAAATGTTAGGAAAGGGTTAAAACAGAAAATATCTTAATTTCACTATATAAATCCATGGGACAGCTACACCTTGAATATTGCATGCAGTTCTGGTCACCCCATCTCAACAAAATATTAGAATTGGAAAAAGTACAGAGAATGGCAACAAAAATGATTAGGGGGCTGGAACAGCTTCCATAAGAGGAAAGATTAAAGACTGACTGTTCATCTTAGAAAAGAGATGACTGAGGGGGGATATGATAGAGGACAACAAAATCATGAATGGTAAGGAGAAAGTGAATTAGAATTTTATTTACTCCTTCACATAGCACAAGAGCCAGGGGTCCCCAATGAAATTAGTATGGAGCAAGTTTAAAACAAACCTAAGGAAGTACTTCTTGTCACAATGCACAATCAACCTGTGGAACTCATTGCCAGGGGAAGTTATGAAGGTCAAAAGTATAACTAGGTTCAAAAACAGAATAAGTTCATGGAGGACAGGTACATCTAAGGCTTTTAGCGATGATGGTCAGGGATGCATCCCTATAGCCTGGGTGTCCCTAAACCTCCGACTGCCAGGAGCTGGGACTGGACCACTCAGTAACTGCCCTGTTCAGTTAATTCCCTCTGAAGCATTTGGCTGTCAGAAGATATTGGGCTAGATGGACCATTGATCTGATCCAATATTGCCATTCTTATGTTTTTATGAAATTCAGTTCTTTCCTTAAATCAGGGAAGTGCTGGTAGCTGTTTGAGTTTCCTCATACCCCATCATAAAGACCAAGTTTTTCACCAGCATCAGACCATACAAGAGAAATGTAAGTTGCTCTGAGTAGTACTAGTCATTAGTTGATTAGCACAACTATTGCATAAGCTTCTAGAGATTCCAACCATCTTACAAGAATTTGGACAGCACACTGGCTCTCATGCTTCTTCTGGTCCCATCGCTGAGTTTCAACTTCTACTAAGCCAGCGGTTCTCAAACTCAGGCTTTGGCCCTCCCGCCCTGGGTGGTGGGGCTCGGGCTTTGGGCCCTCCCCCTTGGGGTCATGTAGTAATCTTTGTTGCCAGAAGGGGGTCACAGTGCAATGAATTTTGAGAACCCCTGTACTAAACTAATATGCTGGGAGGTCCACACTCTCTCCACTTCTGCAAGGGAGTCAAAACCTGGCGATTTGGCTTGGGTAAGAGCAAAAGAAAAGAAAGCTAGCTCTATAGCACGCTCTCCTCCTAACCAGTCAACCCCATGGTAGGCCGTCCGTGGGTGGGAGTGGAGAACCCAGACCCACTGTTTAGGAAGGGGCAGGGCTGGTCGCTCCCCACTGGTTTTTCCCCATCACCTCCAAAACCCACAGGGCAAAGCAACATGTTACTGAAAGCTATCCGCACTAACTTGTGCAACACTTCACACCTCCTCTCATCTCCCAGTTAAGTGTAGGGAACAGCAGCAGACTAGATGAGCACCCAACTGAACAGCATCTGCAGGGTTACTGCAGATCAAGGAAGCAGCTCCCCATGGAGAAAAAGGAAATGCACCGGGGAGGCACAGAGCTCTCAGACAGAGAGAAAAGCAAATCATCTGTTTAGTTCAAAATGAGAATGGAGATTTGTGACCTCCGCTTAATCAATGCCTCTATCTATTACTATTACAGGTAACACTGGTAAGATTTAAGTGACAGAGACAGGTTAGGTCAAGTCAGAGGTGCACTGCCAGAGCCATATAGGAGAGCCTGCCCATCTCCCGCCTATGCTATGACTGGCTTTTCTCGGTGCCATTACTCCTTCATGTTTCTAGTGACAACGTCAGAAGGACAATTTCAAAGCAGTACAAGGTTGGGCTACTGCAGTACGGCGAACACTAGCTAAAAGCACAGATGAAGGGCACTGCAAGCTTGCATTTTGCCAAGAGTTCCAGTTGTTGGACAAAGCTGTTAAAAAAATTGAAGTGAACCATTTTCCAGTATCAGTCACCATCCAAAGTCAGCAGTATGCTGACAGTCCAAAAAGCAATAGTACACCCATCAACAAACCAGGAGTTAACCTTGTTTTACCTGTAAGAAGGCAAAATCTACAGATAAAGTTAACCAGACAAACCTACTATGGAGGTTTACAAAGTTTTCATAATTAATTTTCTTGGTCCACAAGTACCACTTAGATCCTGTCTAATATAAACCTTTGGTACTTTTAGGAAAATCTGTAAGAACATAAGAATGGCCATACTGAGTCAGACCAATGGTCCATCTAGCCCAGTATCCTGTCTTCCAACAGTGGCTGGAGCCAGATGTTTCAGAAGGAATGAACAGAACAGGGCAATTATTGAGTGATCCATCCCTGTTGTCCAGTCACAGCTTCTGTCAGTCAGAGGTTTAGGGATACCCAGAGCATGGGGTTGTATCCCTGACCATCTGGGCTAATAGCCACCAATGGACCTATCCTCCAAGAGGTACAAAAAAACAAAAATTGTTAAAGCAATTAAGTGGTACAGTTCAACAGGTTGAGATAAACAATTTACATCAATAAAAACAAAACTAAAGAAATATCAGAAATGTAAGGCTCAAAAGCAGGAATATTACAGCATGCAATTCACATTCAATTGAAGAAACGTCACCAACAAGACTGGTGATTCACATAACAAATTAGCTACTAAACTGTGAAACGCTTTAAGAACACTGAATATTTAGATTAAGTCAGTTAATCAGATTTAAACAGGTATTAACAGAATAATAAGAATTCTCCATTACCATGGGAGAGGGGAGCTGATAACTTCAGTTATTAAACTAGAGAACGTGGAATTCAGCTATTCAGTCTGGTATAGCTATCAACTTCCAGGCAGCCCTTAAAGTTTACCACCATTCACATATGAAAACAGACTCAAGGACATGCTGCAAATGGAAGAGTATGAAGCGAGGTGCTGCAAATTGCAGTAAGAAAAAGCATACACAAGTCCTGCACCAAAGACAAGATAACTTCCAGTGCTGGGAATTCACTTTGACCGAGGTTCTTGTAAACAAGGTGCTGTATGGAAAACAATAGGGCACCAGAAGGAGGCCAACACGGTGCACACTCTTGCCAGATCACAGGAATATGCTTAGTGCTTGTGTTCTCCCTGCCCCCTTTCTGCTCCCCCCTGCACTTCTAAATAGCGTTCCCCTGGAACAGGTTCCAAATGAATTCCTAGAATAGAAACAGATACAAGCAACAGTATCTATAAATAGCCAAGCAAGGATTCACACATATCTGACACTCTTGAACTGGAAGAAAGGCAAACTTGCATGCCAAAGCATTGCATGCCACTGCATCAAAAAGAGTGCCTAACCCCAATTCACATTAGACATGGAAACCACTAAAAGGTGAAAGATAGCTCTATACATGAAGGTGCGGCTGTTTAAAGTTTGAACCACAGAGAGCCACCTTAATAGAGATCTACAACCTTCTCACCAGATCACATTACAGCTTCCAACACAAATCCCAATGGCTAAATTACCAGCCATCAGGAATATCATCACAGCAAACACTGTTGAAAACCTAGCTAGGCTATATCTAGAGAGTCTTCACATCAAGTAAGTATGCTGTTAAAATCTCATAATATCAGATTTTAGATTCTATCTTCAGAGGTTTGATGGTGACACCAAAGGTGGACAGATACCATGGACTGTGTGTGTTCCTACACTGTCTAGCACAATGGGCTTCTTCAGCAGTTCCACAATAACAGATTGCTACTTGTCACTGCACAAGACACAAAATCAGGAGAGTCCCTGACTCAAAGATCTTAAAATCCAAGCCAAAGGTTCCCAAACTGTGGGGTGCAAAGGTAGGGCACGGGGCGTGGCCAGGTCAGGCCAGGGCAGCAATCGGGAGAGTGCGCAGAGAGTCCCCAGCAGTCCGGAGAGAGAAGGGAAGCACAGCCCTAGCTAGAGAGCAGCCTGCTGTTCTCCCCACTGCTGTCCTTCCCTGGACAGGATAGCCTGCTGGCTGCAGCTCTGCATATTTTAAACCCTCCAGAGCTTGCCAGACCAAGGGGCTCCAGGCAGAAGGGAAGGCAGGCACGGAGCTCTGGCCTACTCAGCACTGCACTGCCATGAGCTCCTCCAGGGATGAAACTAGCTGGGTTCTGCCACCACCCCAGACATGAGCTCCCCTACTCCCCTCAGTGAGTCACTTTCTACCCCCAATGGCCAGGAGTTGAGGGGGCTGTTATGTGACTCCCACGGAAAAGAGGGGCACAGCAAAAAAAAAAATCTGGAATCTCTGATCTAAGCAAAAGAAGATTACACCCCTAGCCCAGTTCTGGAATACTCTCCAGTCTTCCCACAACGATAATGAAAACTTTTAGTCCAGGGCATAGCACAATTTTTTAAAATTCTAAAGTGTATCAAATAAATCATTTGAAACACACCGGGCTTTGAAAAGGTCACCTTTTCTCCATCTAGGGAAATTAACTAATAGTTTCTATGCCCATATTAAAAGTTACTTGCTTTACCAACCTTGAGCTTATATTGTGCACATGATCTTGATGAAAACTCAGATAGGATATGTGTAGTAAAGTTTATTTTTCCAACTGAAAAGTTATTAGAAGGTCAAGTTTTTGGTTGGAACTTTTTTGTCAGGAGCTCAAGTGTGAATAATCATGGAAATACAATAGAGAAGGACTAAGTCTTAGGGCAGGTCTACAACATACAGCATTTTTGGATGACGGGTGTGAATAGGAGTGTGCACCAAAGTGCTGTGCTGTAATTCCCCCATGTGGGCACAGCAGGTGCAAACTAAAAGGTTCCTCCTACTTTGCAGTAATGTATTCCTGTTTAAATCGAACTACATTCATGTGAACTAGGAGCCTTTTAGTTTGTCCCTAGAGCATCCGCATGGGGGACTTACAGCGCAGCACGTTAGCGTGCACTGCTTTTCACAGCCATGCAGTCCAAAGTGCCAAGCACAGCATAGACATGCACTTAGGAGGTGCTGCCAATGCAGCATTGTTCCTTTCTGTACTTTTACAACTGCTAGTTTTTTGACTAGTTTAAAATTAAACAATTAGGTTTCCTCTAATTTCAATAGAACACTGTTCTACAGAGTAAAGTCAGTAAATTCCACCCCCAATATCCAGCCTAAATTTTCTCCCCCTTAATTTCAATTCATTAGTACTGGTTGTACATCCTTGAACCCTTTTAAATAATTCCTCTCTCATGCACACAACCTTCAAATATGTGTAGGCTTATCATGGATACCCCCCAGGTCTTCTATCATCTCTTTATATTTAGCTCTTTTAATCTTTCCTCTTAAAACAATTACTCCAACCACTTGATTGTTTCCTATTTCTCTGAACTCCTTCCAATTTATCAATGTCTTTCTGGTAACGAACGTGCCCAAAAATGAATACAATATTCCAAGTGTAGTTGCACCACCGCGGTACAGGGAGGGAATATTATCTGCCTGCGGTTTTATTTGATCCCTCTGCATACACTATAAAAAACTGCATTGGACTATTTGGTTGCCAACACTTGTACTGCAAATTCATATCTTAATGGATTTCCCTTGGCATTATTGTTTACCAGGCTTCCCCCCTTTCACTGAATCCACTTACTTGAATCTGGATTGCTTTCCCCCAGGTGTAACAGCTGCATTTTTTCTAAGCTGAAACTCTTTTCTTTCCACATTTCTCATCTGAAGCTTTCTATTTTTTTTTTGTCTTCGCTATCATTTGCAACTCCTCAAAATTTAGTACCATCTGCAAATTTCATTTACGTGTGGTTTATGATTCTAGAACATTAATAAGGATAGACACTGATCCCCACCATATTCCACTAGACCGAAGCTTGATATGCTGCCATCCTAAGATATAAATTATTAATTTCTACAACCCCATAAATAAAGAAAGTAAGCCGCGGGAGGCTCTGGAATCCCCATCAGAGGTTTTAAAGAACAGGTTGGATTAACACCTGTCAGGGATGATCTAGGTTTACTTGGTCCTGTCACAAGACACAGAGGGCTGGTCTTGATGACTTCTCAAGGTCCCTTCCAGTCCTACATTTCTATGATTCTGTCTACAACGTACTGCACCAAAGGTGGTCTAAGAGTGAGGTGCCTGCCCAATGTGGCATACAAACTAAAAGCAGGTATAATCTAGATCAGTTGATTCATATATGTTCAAAATTTCCCCACCTCTTTTTTTTTTTTTTTTTTTTTAAAGAATACAATATCTGTTTTATGGGGTCTGCCTTACTTCCTAATTCAAGTTTATCTTTCTTCTTAAAGAAAAATGTTAAAAGGAGTTAAGTATCTCAGTCAAATTTTATTCCCCATCTCATTTATTAATGGACCTACTTTAATATTTCTTTTCCTCCTGATGTTTGTAAAAGCCCTTCTTATTCCTCCTTTTGGCCAGCATTGACTGGTTCTGCTTTTTTTCCTGCCTTTATCTTTCCTGTGTGAATCTTATCTGACTTGAGCGTTTGGCTGCCACCCCTGTTCTCCATTTCCAGTACAAGGTTTTAACCTCCTCCCCCCTCAGCTCTTTGAGCCAGTCTCTGATAAAATTCCACATTGGCTGCTTCATGGTTTTTGCAATCTTCTTTCTCAGAGGGAATGTAGACTGTTGCACCTTAATTAGCATATTTTAAGATTCCCGACATTTCCTTCACATTGATGGGCTTTAATAGTCCCTCTTACGACAACTTATTCACTAAGTTCCTCAAAACTTGTTTTCTGGAAATCTAATATACCTAGACTATTGCATTTTGTGAACCCTTTCTTTATTATGCTGAATTAAAGTGGCTCCTGATCTAAGGTTCCATGCTCCATGTTTTAAACTTTTGTCATCCACCTGGCGAAAGTTACAATCCACGTTCCCTATGCTAATGGAGCTTGTAATTTTCATGAGTGCTCATGAAATGTAATCCTCAGAGAGCTACTTATGAGGCTTCTCAGAAATTGCACTGTACAAGCACTATCAACTGAGTTTGTAATCACCCCGAGAACCAGAGAAAAAAATACTGCATTTGTGGAATTTACATATGCTGCTAGATTTGCATGGAACAAGCAACTTCCAAGTAGCTTCAAATGTGGTTGTGCTGTGATGGTTACAAGCATCAGTTGCAAAACTTGCAACTTGCATGAGATCTCAAACACTGAGTAAACCTTAGAAATCAAACCTGCAGTGAAATTGTGGTAAACAATTTCAAACAAAAAACCCCACAAGTTATACAGTTCCAGCTCTGTTTTGTGACCACTACTGGAATACAGACCTAACTGAAGAGATTTTTTTATTTTCATGTGGCACCCATGTTACGTGACAAAAATAATCAAGTTATAAGCACCGTTAAAAGCGTCTCAATTTATCAGTTACACACACAATCTAAATAAATTCCCTGACCAAAACTGCACCCCCAACTCCAAAATTCAATTTCATTAAGATTATGGAGTAAGATGCCCCTTGTGTCTCCTTAAAGCATTGCTCAGACAGAATTGTTAAATTAAATCTGATACATTATATGTTTAGCTAAAATACATTAATACTTTGTTTTAAACAGAAATTTCAAAGTCAGAGAAATCACAATTAAGATTCAAAAACTAACCGTAACTCTGCCCTTGTGTCACTGCCCAGTCTCCATCTACAGTGGTAGTCTCCAACACGAGCTACAGACCCACACAACCCTCTCCCCACCAGCACACTCTACAAGCTGGCCAACCAACTGCTTGCTACCCACCCTTTATACACAAGTCAGAAAATACCAATTTACTGGTATGAGACTCCCCTGCTGTATTTTGGACACCCTCCTAATATAGGCTGAAGATATCACTGTGTCCCTTCATCCTCCCTCTATGGATCAGGAAACCTCTTCTTCCAGATACACGGCAGGGCACCCTATACAGTCAGGATGTAATCCTGCACACCTCCCAAATGCAAGCCAAATATTTCCATGTGCTTAATGTACAATAGAGAAGAAGCTACAGGGTACACGGTCGCTGAATAAAATTCTGATAACTGATTTCGGGGATGGGGATCTTTAATTTATAAGTGAGGAGACAGGGTCGGGCAAACATAAGACCGGTGTGGGAACAGAAACAGGCCTTTCTTTTCTTTTTAAACACAAT